CGGCGCTACTTCGGCACTCGTGTGGCGGACCAGAGAAAAGCCTAACTTTGGCATGTATAAAATACCCAAATTAGGCGTTGCTCTGGCAGTTATGGCTGTAGTATGCCACTAGTTTGGCACTCCTGTGGCGGACCAGAAAAAGGCCAAACTTTGGCATGTATAAAATACCCAAATTTGGCGTTGCTCAGGCGGTTATGGCTTTAGTACGGCACTACTTCGGCACTCGTGTGGCGGACCAGAGAAAAGTCAAACTTTGGCACGTCCCAAATACCGAAATTAGGCGTTGCTCTGGCAGTTATGGCTGAAGTATGGCACTACTTTGGCGCTCCTTTGGCGGACAAGAGAAAAGCCAAAATTGGGCATGTCCAAAATACCCAAACTAGGCGTTTCTCTGGCAGTTATGGCTCTAGTATGGCACTACTTTGGCACTCCTGTGGCGGACCAGAAAAAAGCCAAGCTTTGGCATGTATAAAATACCCAAATTAGGCGTTGCTCAGGCAGTTATGGCTCTAGTACGGCACTACTTCGGCACTCGTGTGGCGGACCAGAGAAAGCCAAACTTTGGCACGTCCCAAATACCGAAATTAGGCGTTGCTCTGGCAGTTATGGCTGAAGTATGGCACCAACTTTGGCGCTCCTCTGGCGAACCAGAGAAACGCCAAACCTTGGCATGATCCGAATTTCCAGATTAGGATTCACTATGGCAGTTATGGCTCAAGTATGGCACCAACTTTGGCCCTCCTTTGGCGGACCAGAAAAACGCCAAACCTTGGCATGCCCCGAATTCACAGATTAGGATTTACTATGGCAATTATGGCTCAAGCATGGCAGCAACCTTTGGCACTCCTCTGGCGTACCAGAGAAGAGCCTAACTTTGGAATGCCCTAGGATCGCCCAACCAAGGCTATAGTTAGGCACCGTACTTTGAAAATGATGAGTGCCATGGTGCAAAAACCTAACTGCGCCAAAGTTGGGCCCTTATGTTTGCCAGACCTTTGCCCAAGTCCGGCATTCCTTTGGCGTGCTACCTGGGTTTACTACACTTTTTATTTTTTTTCGTTGTATTATTCTCCATTAGTGCGTTTTTCTGTTTCGTGTTAATAAACTGCCCCCGTTTATGTAATGCCCTAACTGGGCTTTTAAGGTGAAATAAATGACATGAAATGAAGTGAAATGAAATTGATGTGCTGCACCAAAAAATGTAGGTTACCTCCCATTAAAACACACAAAGCCGATGATAAAAAAAGAAAAGTTCTATGACGCCTTTACATATCTCCTGGCGAGCACTACCCCACAAAGGATGGAGGGCTTAAAAATCGCCTAAAATTAAAAAAAAAGGTTGAGGTAATTGTTTTACAAGTGACTCAAGTTCACTGATATGCAGTGGAGAGTTAGGTGGCAGATAAAAAGAAACTAACGTGATCAAACGGTCAACCAGAAGCCGCATCGCTACAGCCTCTAAGGGCGTAGAAAGGGGGACCTTCGAGCAAGCAACACAACTCTGCATCACTAATGCCACTCCTCCCGACATTTTAGGGGAGGGTCTATCTATTCTAAAAACTTGGTGCGGACGTAAAATTTGTGTATGAGTGTTATTTAAATGTGTTTCTTGCAGGCTGAGGGCAATTGATCTCAAATCATCCATAACATAATTTACATCACCAATATTTCTGATTAGGCCATGGCATTTCCGTTGCATAAAATGGAATTTCGTCATTGTTCTAAAAACGAGTTAAAATGTAAATAAAGAAGAAACACAAGGAGAATACAAACAAGAGCTCTAAAGCTGATGTATGTGGCAAAAATTAGTTCGCAATGTCATGTTAGGTGGATAAAGGTCTTTTGGTTTTTGTGTTTACTCTTAGGAGTCTCCCACTTCATGTCGTCTTGGTGAGACGCATGAGTGGAGACTTTTGAGCACTCATTCATGGCCTCAGTTTCCTGAGGCGAGGCTTTCCCTGCAGGCTTCAGCAGGTTTGGAGAACGGGGCGCCATGCCCCATCTTTGATCAGACTCAGCCAAAGGGGCGGAGGAGGTGCTGGGTGGGGAGCCGCCTAAGTCCACCCCTTGCTGCCCCTTGGGCGCTGCAGGTGCGGCTGGAGAGCCATGCCGCTCCTTCGATGACGCTCTCTCCAAGGTGTGTGGGCGAGAGTGCTGATCCTTTTTCCTGGAACGAAACTGCAAAGGAGGGACGGTTGAGCTAGTCACCGGCCCATCCTGGGGTTTGGGAAAAAGCCTGAGAGGATAAAGGCTGTGGTCCTATTGGAGCGTGAGGGTTCGCACTCTGGCTGGGAGGGTCGGTAGACCGCCTAGCCGAGATTGCAGCTGGGGCGTGGGGGGCTGCAGTGGCCTCCCATAGCCCAAAAAGGAAATCTGCGTATCCACTGCTACCATCAATGGTGCAGGTCCCCGCTGCACCACCGGCGGATAACTAACTGCCTTTAAGCAAGAATCCGAAACGACGGCGTACCTCTGGGTAGGAGAGGTCTTCGTTGATTTATCTTGAAGTGTAAGCACCTTCTTCTCCTCCTTCCACGTGCCGCAGAATCGAGAATATGCAGGGTTGGGATCACCGCAGTTCACTCAGTGTGCGTCGTTGGTGCAAGAGTCCGTGTGTGGTCAGTCTTGGCACTATTTCCCACAAGTGGCTTTTCCACGTCAGTGCTGAGAACCATGGCCAAATCTCTAGCATTTAAAGACCTTCGAGGATTAGGCACATAGGGCCGAAGCCTGCAGTGGAGATAGCCAGCTTTTATGGCCTCTGGAAGTGTTGCAGATTCAAACGTTAAGACTATGGGCTTTGTCTTGTGCTCTGTGCCATCGCGATGAACTGTCATTCGTCGTGCAGCGACCACTCCTTGGCCAGAGAGGCCCTCCACCAGCTCTGCATACGATGTGTCTAGCAGGTCGTCCTCAAAAATTACTCCTAGGACGGTGTTCAGTTTGCGGTGAGGGGTAACACTGACTTTATAGTCTGACACAGAGTTAAGACACAAGAGGGCATCACTCTGCTGCTTTGTACTGATTTGCAAAAGGTCGTCTCTGGAGGCCAATTTCTTTGCATTGAAGTTTTCTCGAACAACGCATTCTACTACCTAAGCTACAAGGAAGGGGGACAGTTCGTTCAGTGGCATTTTATCTTCAAAATGAAGAACAAAAAATCTTGGAAATTTCATAAACAGAAGACTTTTCAGGCTGGAAGGCTGCTTGGGTGCGGACACCTTTCGGGGCACGATCAGAAGCTTTTTTTAGTTTGCAGGCCCATAAAGATGGGAAAGAAAATTCAGCGCCCATCACAGAGTTCAACGACGGGGCAATCAATGTGCCATAGGAAGAAAGGCTTGGCTCATACAATTACTCTACCAGTGTAAACGAATGGAATACCCTACCGAAAAATCCGGTATAACTTTCCCTATCCGGAATATGGAACCGGAAATTTGTTACTGGAAACCCGAAATCCAGATTGAGAACAAAGGAATAATTTCTGAAAACCTCAATTCCAGATAGAGTCCAGATAGAATCCAGATAGATTTCCGGTTCCATAATCCGGATAGCGAAAACTTATACCGGAAGTTTCGGTAGGGTAGCCTACCAGATAAAATTGTCCCCGCGCCAGGTTAGTCTTTCTTTTTGTTTCAGTCCTGAAGAGCTTCTTACTTGGCTAACTGTCAATTTGTAAATTCGATTGCTGGTGTACTTGGCGACATGCTGTTTTGTTCCAAATTTTCTATGTTGGCAATATTTTCATCCCTGATGTCATTAAATCTTTAGAGCGCAGCTCTTAGGCGCCCGTTTCCGGCTTGAGCGGCGCCGCCGACGGCGACGGTGACGGCGACGTCACCGGGGTCACGTGACCCCCGTGAGGTCACGTGAGACTCGTGAGGTCACGACGGTCACGTGACCTCACGGCTACTCCGACGGCGACGGCCACGTAGCCCAGAGGGAGAAGTAGCAGGCAGGATGAGGAGGTGAGGAGGAGGGAGGAGGGGTATACGCTCTCCTAAGTACCCTTTCCTCCTCTTCCTCAACTCTGTGCGCTCTATTTTGGTGTTACAGAGAGCTCTAAGCGGCTTTCACTTTGTTTTTGTCTTTCCCACCATTTCACCCTTTCCAACTTCTTCGACGTCTTCCGCCACCTGAACAGACATCAAACGTGGGTCGGTACTCCCTTGATTTGTGGGTTCACAGCTCGCGTAACAGATGATGTAGCCTTTTGTCGTGTCCTTCTGCCTGCCCTTCGTCAGTTTTCGCGCTGTTTTCTTGTTAGTAATGACTCACCAACTCGCCCAAGGTGCCAGTATACCAAAGTTACGTGATTTTCTGAAGAGCCCGGCGTTAGATGGAACCCGTGGTCTCCCATTTTTGGCAAGTGGCGCTCTTAGGCTCCGTGCATTCGAGAGCGCCGTCGGCCGCCATTTTTCCGTTGGAAGTAAATCGCTTATAGTTTGTGAACAAGATAACGGTTAGTTCTGAAACTCGGGCATCTGTTGGTTCGGACCGCAAGGGTTACCTGTGAGTGGACAATGAGCGTTCATCCAAGTGTTTTAACAGCCACTCCTCGTAAGTCGTGCGGCAACGACCAGATTGTTTCTAAATACTTGTTCCTTTACAGCGCAGACACATACGACTCCAGGGGCCGCTGCCTGAACACATCTGTCCTTTCTGTATACTCTGCAACAATGCTCATTTGGCTTCTAGTAAGTCGGCGCCAATGGTGCGCAGTTGGGGAATTTAAGCCGCTCTCACACTGCTCATGCATCATACAAACGACACGGGCTGCAGACGTGATGTCAAAATTATCTGCGGAGACGCCTAAATCATGTTTGAAGCTTATTTGCTTCGTGCCTATGCATACTTTTAACAATTCAAGAACGGTTTTTATATGACCAGTGTGACAGGAACCTCATATACAAGGAAGGCCTCAGACAGTGTTTGCAGCGTGTCTTTTGTAAGATGTATAAGCAATGGGACCGCCGCTTTGGAGTTAGACATTAGCAGTATAGCCGGGAGAGCCACGGTAAGCGAATCGTGCTCTCTAGAAGTGGTATTTTATTTCCAAAATTTGCAGAGAAAGGTCAAAAAGCTAAAAATTCACGGAGCATATTGTAAAACGCAACTTCCGCGCGATTCAGTGCTTTTTTTTTTTTCGCACCCAACAGAAATTAGAAATTAGTTTTGTTTGTATTTAAAAGCGCCCGTGCAGAAACCAAAGTCATTGTTCCTGATCTTCATTTCCACACTTTCGTAGATGTAATTGTAGGAGTCGTCTTTGCCGTTTATGTGCCAGGTAATACCGAGGCCCCTTATTGACGAAGGGTGCTTGAAATTACGTCCGTTTAGATTTGCCTTGTTACATCTCTTGAACCACCAGCCACCACTTAGAGTTCCTCCGGAGCACTCGTCTCGGTCAGGTGCTTCAATCATGCTCTTCTTGGTGGTGAACTTCTCTCCGTTGTGGTAGGATAACGCGTTGTGACCTGTGCATGAAAAAAAAACAGTGTGATCCAGGCAAGGGTGTTCACGGCACTTGCACTATAATATACTAACAAGCCGCAAATATAAAATAATGTGTTCTGTTATAAGCAAACATCTGGGAATATTTCACTGCGTCAGTGGACACAAAAGGCTTTTCGTCTCTTCCAAACCTATTTCCATCAAAATTGGTCACACACATTAATTAACACAACCGAACTAGTAACCTAAATTACAAGTCACAATACTTTTTTGTGGAGTTATTGCATTTTAAATTTTGGTCTGAAAGGAACCACGGTAACACCGGCAACACTGAAAACATGACACTAGGTGGAGCAAGCTACGGCTCGTTACAAAGGTACGGCTGTTATCCTTTTATCATTCTTCCATCCAGTTATTGATTGTTATATGGGGCAGCACAGTTGGTTCTTGTTTGGTGGTGTGGAATGAATTCTAAGCAAGCTCACGCCGGCAAACAAAAAAAATGCTTAAGGTACAGTGTTGTTTTAAACTGTCTGCTAGGCTTCCAAGTTCTACAGCGCATGACATCACACTGCTGGAGAAAGCGGAAAAATTTTAATGTTGATTGTGCACAGCCTTCATTTGCTGCTTTTTCAGGAGAGATAATAAATAGCAAGTTTGGAAGACTAAAACCCGGGTATTCCGAAAATGCGTTTAGTCTGACTGGTTCAAAAACCCACTTATAGTGTCAATATTATGTCAGGAATCGGGCTGGGGCTTCAATTCTACCAGCCACTGCGGATGTCTGTAGTTGAACGAAATGTTAAACAAAATCTGGTAAGAAACAACAGTCAAAAGTTAACATTATAGCAAAGGGGTGGCCTAAATGCGGCTCTCGTGTCGCATCCTCCTTTCCCTTTTCCTTCTCTGTCCCCATGATAAAAAAAGTTCTGCAATATAAAAAATAAAAAAAATCTTATTGTCTTGGCAGTCTTGTACTACACAACGTACATACAGCTGAACTGCTTTTTGACAAAAAGGTGTGCCTATACATTGGTAAATTACTTCCAAAATGTAATTGAATTACAATTACAATTACTTTGCTTCAAAATTAGTTTAATTACAATTACTACTAGGAGAAAGTACATTTTTATGATTACAAAATACTTTCAGAAAGTAATACAATTAATTTACAATAACTTATCTCCGACAGCGACTCGACTTGGGCCATATAACTTTAAGCGAGTTGTTAAGAATGCAATGAATTTCTTCAGTGCTTGCCCCAATGTATGAGGAGGCTTAGGCATCGCTCTATAAAAGTCATGTATTCTACTTTCCTTTTGTGAATTTCGTTAAATTAACGATAGAACTTGACAGGTGTTGTACTTAATTTTTTTTGTACTTTCTTCATAGACTACCTAGATGGCGCCACTGTCCATCATTGCGCCCGTGTTGTCAGGGTCGCGTCCCCGTGGCGCTTGACCCCCATGTTGTTTACCGTTGAATAAACAGAGTACGCCATCAACCAACACCCGCGTCGGACGCCTCCTTCCTTCCAGGGCTCCCGCACCCCCGGCCCCGCCGGTCACCACTTCGGCATGTGAGACCCCTCGTCTTTTCCACAGGCCCACGCAGGCACTGCTGTATTTATTTCTCGGGTGATTGCCTTCTTTTATTACTACATGTTTGGCGACGAGCAATTACTACAACAGTCTGGGGTAATGAAGTCCTACACTCTGATATTTTCATTAAATAATAATAAATTAGTTTTTATTTTCAAAACGCCAGATCGGAAATTAAAATTGGGCTAACACACTTTTGTTAGCCAGGCAAAAAGAAATCCGACAATTAGTGATCGCTGAGTGTTTTAATAATGTTAATATTATCCACACGTCCTAGTAGGAACAGATTCAGACAACCACACGTCTCATGTTATGGTAAATTATTTACATTGAGTTAGAATTATGATGGTTCAGAAATATATAAGAACCGAATCGAGGCTCCCGAAACATTGGTGACAATATTCACAGGTGCGAAGTCAGTCTCCAAAATGCTGACGCAAATACTATACGAAGTAAACTCAACAGGAAAGAAACGTGGAACTGCGCGTGTGTCACCGAGCGCTAGGCCGCTGGTGCGGGCACTGAGGCTTTCAGAGGGGTTCCGTCAGCACCGCAAAGGCTTCGAAAAGTAATTGTAAGTGTGCCTGAAATTTTGCAATGACTGGAGCTAGAAAATAATTAAATAAAAATTACAATTTCTTCCAGCCGAAAGTACTTAATCACAACTAAAATTACAAAGAAAGAGATTACAGTAGTTCAATTACTGTAACTAAATTACTACCCCTTTTTTTCTGCGGCTCTCAGAACTTTTGTAGTTTTGTCTGCATCTTTCTCATGTGTTTTTTTTAACATTTCATAAAAGGTAGGATAAGCCGCCGTGTTTCACGGAACATCGGCCAAATCGTTCATGCGAAACTGCATGTCACACAGAAGGTCTTGATTACGTACTAGTTTTTTCAAAGGGTACATTCAGAACAATTATTAATGTTTGCGATAGCTAGGCTCGTAATTATGTTTGAGATTTTAAATTTTAAATTAGTAAATTTAAACAAAGTATTAGTTAGAGAATAGCTAAGTGCCATCTTAAAACACAAAATCAGCCCATTTAGAGAGACGAAAAGCACTGCAAAATTTACAGCCTTTCAAAAGCAGTCAGTTTGGACTCGTTTCCAGTTTTTGGTTTTCTGTCGGCAGAGCCGGAGAAGTCCTGCTCACAGCGGACAAAGCGCTCAATAACACGCGCCATTACGCATTCTTCGCATGATATGTTGAAAGAGGCTAGACGGCAAACCTGATACTTACGTTCAGGACCCTCGTACTCGTCGATGGTCAGCTTGTAATGCTCCTCTTTGGAGCCGACGAGAAATTTGTGATAGAGCAATACTGTAGTTTCCTTTGCTCCTTTTGTTTTCAGTTCAATTCTGAGAGCTTGTTGGTTGTTCGGAAAACTCGTAAGTGCATGAAGATTTTCAAGTCCTTTAACGGGAAGGTATAAGATGCTTTTAAAAATAAAACACAAACACCATCTCTGAATTTAAGACTGACTCATAAACCCTCTTTGACATGGGGCCTTACTCCTAACATAAGCTGCAGGAATGAGCATGGCGCTGACTAAATGCATGGATCAAAGCAAGTTAACGATAGTAAATTCAAAACAATAAATACCTATAAAAGCAGCGATTCAGTTTTTATTTTGCTATACTATATATTCTTACGCATCGGTAGCAGTGGGTGATGCATTACATTATTGAAATTGTTTGGAGACATGAGCAAGCTGAAACGCTGGCAAAATAAAATTATTCTTGAGAGCTTGTTTTCAATGAAGAGTATCAGAGCTAATCGCAGAGCAAATAAACACAGATAGGCTACGTCACCCGAAAGTATCTTTACTGATTGCTTTTGTTTTACGCGGGGACCAAAAATTAATATTAATACTACTGGTGCTTTCTAAGGAGATTTAACGTCACTGAAGGCTGTGACGTGGCGCACGGTACATGTAGACCCACTAAAGTTTGCGGGAAACATTACCACGCGACGTGACGTTGCCGCATGACCTGAAGCCAAGGTGTCACGTGACACCCGCGACTCCAACTGTCTATGTGTGGGGCCACCCGTTTATGAAATGGCGGATAAATTGAGGGTCGGAGATACGTGATGGTGTACCAGTTGCTACTGGGCCTGTCTCGTGGTGCGCTGGCTGTACTGAGCGACACGGATTATTTCCGCTTCTACGGGGAAGCTGGAGTAGTACGCAGGCAGGTCACAGCTTTCTCAAAAAAACAAAAAAACAAATATGGTCAGCGTAATATTGACGCCATGATACAGTTTTTTTTTTGTTTTTGTTTTTAAGTCACAAGCAAAACAGAAACCATATTTAGAAAGCAGGCGAGCTCGTTAAGGTTACACATGATTCTAAACCGGAGACGAACGGACGCCAAAGGGACAAACGCACTTTTTATGGGCGAAGCTCTTTACGGTCTAGCCCGGCGTCCGTGCTCACATCGATTGCACTGCCTCGAAATCGGCCCATTAAAAAAAAAAAAAAATCACCGCATCTCTACGGGGTGAATGATGCTGATTGGGCCGAAGCTCTGGTGGTGCTGGTGATACTGATTTGATTGATCATAGGTAGTGCTGATGGTGCTGATATTTTTTATTGCTCATAGGTAGTGCTGAGTTCCGGGTTGCGTTTCGACTTCGTTATTAATGCTTTATGGTCGGTGAAATGCAGAGCCAGCTGTGGTTCTTCTATCGGATCAGCTTGTAACCGCTAGGAGCCGTGGAAACGCATCTCCACCGCGTAAGTCAACGGTCCATGTCAGAAAGAGAACGTGTGGTACGGATCGTGGTTATATACGGATTTGAGCATTTGACCGCAGCGTCCTCTCGTCTATAAACGTTGAGCCAATGCATGCAAAGTTTAACGCAATTATATACGCATTTGACCGCAGCGCCCTCTCCTGTATAGACGTTGAGCGGCTACACTCAACGTTTCATTCATTACAAAAACCCCAGCTCTTGAGCTACTACCACATCTCAGAGCCCCCTACTCGTCCCGCAGTCGTGGCCGGGTGGTTAAGGCGATGAACTGGAAATCCATTGGGTCTCCCGCACAGGTACGAATCCTGTCGACTGCGCAAACATTTTTTCTTTTTATGTGAGCGTGAGCGCCGGCCGGCCGGACGGACGGACGGACGGACAAGGCTAGACCCTAAGGAGCTTCGCCCCTAAAAAAAACGGACGCCCGCACGGGGGTTTGAACTAAGGACCGCTTGCTTACGAGGCAGACGTCTTAACCACAACGCTACACTCCAACGTTGCAAGTACCCGCTCAGCATCTATACAGGAGAGGGTGCGGCGGTCAAATGCCTATATAATCGAGTTAAACTTTGCATGCATTGACTCAACGTTTATAGCCGAGAGGGCGCTGCAGTCAAATGCTCAAATGCGTATATAACCACGATCGGTACCACGCATTCTCTTCCTGTATAGACCATTGACTTAAGCGGTGGAGATGCGTTCCCACGGTTTTTAGCGGATCCAAGCTGATCCGCTAGAAGAACCACTGGCTCTGCATTTCACCGACCATAAAGCAGTAATAATGAAGTCGAAACGCAACCCGGAACTCAGCACTACCTGTGAGCAATAAAAGAAAATCAGCACCATCAGCACTACCCATGAACAATAAAGTCAGTATCATCAGCACCACCAGAGCTTCGCCCCGATAAACATCATTCACCACGTGGAAATGCAGCCTCTTTTTTTTTAAACTCATCACTTTGCTTCACTCATAAAGACTGAGACGTGCGTGTTTGCCCCCTTGTCGTCCGTTTGTCTTCGGTTTAGTATCGTCTGTACCGAACCTAACTTTTGTTTTGGAGTCAACGCCTTGGTACAGATGTTAATGTCGGTTTCACTCCTACTGCGAAATGTGTCGAACAACGTAATTAGAGAGTTCAATAAAATTCTCAGGCGCTTAAGGATGTGTTTTTGAGAGCCATGCCCCTTTAGGCGGGTTAAACTGGTAAATTATTTTTGAGATTGAATGCTTCTATGTTACTTTCTATACACATCAAGTTTCGCAATTTTTAGAGCTCTATTCCTACCGAAAACCCCAGTTTAACATTTCGCTATCTGGATTATTAAACTCGAAATCTATTTTAATATTATTTGGATATTATGTTTTTAGAAACTATTCACTTGGCATCACGCTGCTGTTACTTGATGACATATTTTATGATCATCGTTCGGGCACAGCAACAACGCCCCCGACGCCGTTTTTTCTTCAAGTATTGTGACAAGTGAGGCCGTCCTAGAGGTATAGGACGACTTCTAGAATGACTGAAAGGACGACGCCTAGGTAATGGGACAAGTAAGGTCGCGCATTGAGCAACGCGGGCCGCTCAATTGCATTTTATTGGTTTATACGATGCTTTTTCGCTCAATAAAACAAATAAGGATTTCGCGTTAAAAACATATTTTACGGATGCCGTTATTAAATATTACAAAAACGTTGTTTACAAAGGTTCTAAATTTCAATTTCTGTGCTATTGGAAAATTGAGACCGTAGCTCTATGCAAGATACTTTGAAGCGGTCACCGACCACCACTTTACAGATTTTTGAGAAACAGCAGAACTTCGACTGGTTTTTAAGATTTGGTTTGCAATCGGAGAGCCTCTCGGTACCGACGGCACCGCACCCCGTGGAGAAATAGTGCAACCAACATCTAGCTTCGCTGTCCTCGCGCAAGGCTGCAGAGGCAGCTTGCACTATTTCGCCATGGGGCGCGGTGCCGTTGGTGCCCAGGAACGCTCCTATTGCAAACCGAAACTCAAAAACCCGTCGCAGTTATGTGGTTTTTCAGAAAACTGTAAAATGCAGCCTGTGGTAATGTTTAGAGGTGGGCTAGTTGGTGGTGCATCGTAAACATAGAAATAGAACAGCGCAAACGAACGCAAGGACAAGTAGAAGAAGGGACACAAACCACAGCGCTGACTCACGGCTTACCGTCTTTTTTGTTTTCTTAAAACAGATTAGAATAACAAGACAAAGAAAAAAAGTAGGAGAATCAAACATCTAGGAGATCTTCACTGTCATGTGCCATCCGAAGAATTTCTAACAAAAAGTATAATTACAAAAAACAAATGAAAAAGGAAAGGAAATAGTAGAGAAATATATAACTATACATCGCTTCAACTCAGGTCTCAGCAAAGCCAAAACTACAGCCCGAACCCTAATCCTTTGTACGTACCTGTCTCGCATGCGGCCTCATGTCTGTTGGCACCGTTTTTAGGCTGCATGTATACGCGGTTGCAGCTATAGGATCGCTCCCACGAAAGCAGAAAGAAAGTATGAAATAAACCTGCTTAAACTCCGAACAAACCCGAACTCTTCACAGGATCATGTAACTGACTCTGAACTTTAGCATAGATCGGGACCGTGTTGTCGTATGTGAAACGCTTTATGAATTTTCCTAGCCCTTTTTTTGTGAATGTTTAGCCAAAATTTCAATGTCACCTAACCGAGGTGAACAGCCACACCTGTCGCAATAAACGGCTAGGTGACCCGAAGGTGAAGACCTCAAAGACAGAGAATGCCCCCAAGTTCTAACATTAATACATTTGCTCGTCTGCCCAATATACACCTTACCACAGGAAAAGGGTATTTTATAAACGACCCCCACAGCACAAGCTGCATATTTGATGCATTGGTTTACCCACACCCTACACGTTGAAGTCTTGCTTTCTCAATGTAAGCACACAAACGAGATAACTTGGAAAGTGCTGGAAAGACTATAGGGACTTCGTATTTAACAGCCACTTTTTTATCCTGTGCGAGAAGCTGCGCAAATATGGTATTACCCCCGGTCGAGAAGCAGGTTTTTGTCTAACGCTGTCAAGTATGCTAAGGGGATTCCTGAATAATTTTTAAAGTGACCCCGCTACCCCCACTATGACAAGTATCGGGAAACCCGCTCTTGTTAACCTATTGACTTCAACCATAAAGTTGTTGAAACTTCGGTGAACACAGGATTTCGATAAAGACGCTCTTAAACATGATTTTGAAATGCCTCGTTTTTACAACTTTTGAGTGCGTGGATTCACAGCTAAGGAGGGACTTTTCTGTTTTAGGCTGATAAGCCCAGCACAAGTGACTTGGTTCAAGACAAATATTTGGGTCCGAAAATTGCAAAGCTTTTTTAGTTGGAACCTCATTCGTAAACCGCAGACCTGCAGAGCACTCCCGAAAGGTATCTAATAACTCTGAGACCAAGTCAGCACATCTTGAGCCCTGCTTAGGTTTTAACACAACCAGGTAATCCTCAACATACCTGAAGACTTAAAGAAAGCGATCATCTAACATTTCTGCAATAGCACAATCAATACCTGCTAGGATGATATCACTTAATATCGGAGCAACACTAAACCCAGTCCAGAATCCGGATGTTTGCAGAAACGTGTTGCCCTAGAGAGCA